CTTTGTCATATTCCAGTTTAAGATGGTTATCAAGAGGCAAAATTTTAAATCGTCTTTTTGAACTTTGATCAGAATTTCAAATTTTTCTCTGTGATGCAAAATTTTTTATTTAGAGAATTATGGCTGGCAGATTCAGCATATTTAGCTGATATTTTTGGATTATAAAGTTAAATGAGTTAAATTTAAGATTACAAGGAAAGATAAAATAAATGCAATATTAAAAAAAAAAACTTAGGCTAATAATATTTTAAGCGGTGTACCACTTTTAGAAAGTTTTCTAACAGAAAATAATTTGAAAATAAAACAATTAGGATCTGCCATTAAAAATCATTGTTTTTCTTTGATAAATAATTTGAACATGTATTTTCCTGAGGATTATGGATAGGAAAATTGAGTAGAAATCCATTTTGTTCAAATGTACCTGTAACTTTATCTCATGAAGAAACAGAACGACTTGATCACAGAAATCTCCTGCGATCAAACTCTAAATGAAGACTTCAAAAATAACACTTGTTAAATCTCCTGCGATCAAACTTTAAATGAAGACTTCAAAAATAACACACTTGTTAACTTTTGGTTGAACCGAAAAAAAAAAAGAATTTAAATGCATTTCAAATAAAGCTATTTTAAATTTTTATTGCCTTTTCGCACAACCCATTTGAGTGAATAAGGATATTCTTCCATGTTATATTTCAAAAATAAATACAGAACAAAATTATGAGTGAATCCTAATTTACTGTTAAAAACTAAGTGACAGACATAAAGAAACTGATCTCTCTTAAAGAGGCTCAAATTTCACATTCAATATTAGAATCAAAGTATTACAGCTTAAATTTTGATAACCAATTTTTAATCTAATATTTCTATGTGTGCATAGTTAATACAAATAGTCAACAGGTAGCGCAAATGGCAAAATAATTTTTAATATTTCTATAGAATAAATGAAAAATAATCATTGTAAAATGTAGTAGTGGTGGTACTAAAGTTTTTCAATTTTTGATTAGATGATCAGAAGGTTGAGAACCGCTGGTCTAAGTTGCTATTTCTCAGAAAATCAAGTATAGTTTCATACAATCCTTCACCCATGATTTCTATATAATAGCCAAATGGTCTTCTTATGGTAATATTTTTTCATATAAAAATCACATTGTAAACAAAAGCTGCTCTACATAATTTATATATAGTGCACAGGATAAAAAAAAGACTAATCTATTTCTGATCTAGCCCAATTAAGTATATTTTGGTAACTGCATATTTGCGCAACTCACCCCCTTGTGCAGTCTAGCGATTTTTTACGAAAGAAAAGATGATATGGTGAACTTTTAGACTGTAACTTATAATGTATATGGTTACCTAAGAACTGTTATGCACATGGTTGCCAGAACTTGATACTTTTACTAAGGTGGTTGCGATATTATGCAAATACCTATATTTTTCTGAACAAGTTTTCCCAACAAATTAATTACCGTATTTGCCGGCATATGAAGTATACTTTTTTTTTTTTTTTTTAAATAGGTCTGAAAATGGGGTGCATCTTATATGTCAATACTCAGTTTTTGATTACATTCATTCCTCTATTTAGAGTTAAGCGATTTTTCTCGTTTCCTTGCAGAGTACGAGAATATTACAGTTACGTAGAGTGAATGTACCAAAATTATGGAACTATTAGGCTAAAATTCAAAGAATGTAGTAGCAGATCATGAAAGTGACAAAATTTTAAAAATATCATAATAAAAATTTCAGATTGTAATGGTAGATCATAAATGTGACAACTGTGAACGTAGTATAAGATCAAGACAGTGTATTAACAAGTTATGATAGATAACCTCAGACTGGTTCTAAAATGGACACATATCATGCACATCAGTAACTCAAGGCTTCGATGCTGTGATATGGCTTTCTTTTCAATGGCTGAAGGGAATGTGAAGACAAGCCCTAACTTTTTTTCACTCCCGAGTTCCAGTTTGACTGGCAATGAAAGCTGGCTAAGAGACTATAAATGATCCATTTCTGGGATTGCTCACACTCTTACTTCTATGTTCTTACCCCTTTATCTCACTGAATGGAGGCAGGCCAGAGAAGGATGTCATTTACAGCACTTCTTTCTCATCAGCTCTGCTTTCTGAAGAAAAAAAATCTAGTGCCTTTTAATGAAATGATTCATTTGTTTAACCTGTGAATATCTTTAATATTTGTCCATCATGAAAACTGCATTCCTTGTCAAATACCTTATTATGATGAAATTTTATGTAAATTTAGAAGGACACTACAGGCAAACTCTTTGCATCATTTTTTACTTGACACAAGGCAGCAGATTCAAATGTGGTCAACCAAGCAGTGTAGTTTGGTTAAAAAACAAATAGCCATTTTTCATACCTATGAAGTCCTATAAAATTCTACATGCATTCTGTCAATAAATAATTAATGATGTCTGCGATGCTTTAAGATATTTACATTCTTCTGTGTCCTATTCTTCAATAATAAATTCAGAGTGTCATCATGAAACTGATTTTATGTGTTTGAATTAGTAGATAAATTCCAACTGCAAATTAGGTTTCTCAATAAATGTTAATTTTACATGCACAGATTTTAGGCTTTTGGCACTTACGATATGGGCAAGTTAAAGTTTATCTATTATCCTGCTTGAGTTAGTATGGCATCCCATACAGAACCTACTGCTTTTTATATGGATGATAATGAATTCCAATCTAATCATAGCCATAATCTTAATTATCTCTTTACATGGGTTACCAATTTAAAAAAGAATTAAAATATGTATATTTATCCATATTTTACTACAGCACCACATACTGCATATTGTTCAGGCACACTAGGTGATAGGGTACTTAACAAGAGCTAAAACAAAAGCTGGTTCCCATCTTGCCCTCAGATCATGCTACTCTTTTGATCTGATAATTTAAGAACAGGTTTAAAAAAAAAAAAAAAAAAAAAAAAAAAAATTGTTTCCAATTTTGATGTTGCCCAATGAATTCAGCATTTTGGACTAATATTAACATCAAGAGTTGTAGAGTTTCACTAATTCAAACCATCACTATTCTGTTGCTATCCCAACATTATTTAAATTTTTATCTCCTTTTCACTCAATATGGAAGATATTTTCTAAAAGAAGTTACACTACATTTATAAAGGTGTAGAAAAATTTACATTTTTCAGCACTAAAAGAATCATTTGGTACTTTTCGGTTTCGACGGCGCTAATCTCGCCAAGTAGACTTTATTGGCGAAAAACACAGTATACACATAAAAGGTGTTGACAAATACTAATTCAGAAGTCAAACAACAAAAATGACAAATGTTAGTTCTAAGAATTATTTATTTTGAAAGGTATAAATATTTTAATGTAGTTTTAAAATTTTGTAAAAGAGCCAATAAATAAAGACAATATATTGGTAAAAAGACATTAATTTAAGAATTTACTATGCTTTCATCGTTACAACATCCTGATTCACTGGTTCATATCGCATGACCCCAAGTGATCTCATCTCACGTAAATACTACGCTACAAAAATCTAATTCTCTCAGTAAATTATTCTACATTAATTTCAAGTTCAAATCTTAATTTGGAATACTAGTTTGGTTAATCTTTGGATTATAGTAAATTGGCAATTTTTTGGCGACCAACCCTGCTACAGCAACCTGCTGGTTTTTTGTTTGGACGCCATTTTGTTTTCACGAAGTAAAGGCATTTTTTTTTTTTTTTTAACTCAACATTTTTTCCAACAATCTGGTAGCCGAATTAAGCTTATTCTAGAACTTTTATGGAACAAAAGTGCTTAATCATGACGAAGATTAGGTGCGAAATTCGGAGAAAGTGCAGAATCGCAAACTGCTTGTCGCGTTTATAAGAATGGCACATACACGGTATCATCCATGTACACGTCGACCTATTTTCCCTTAAAAAACATTCCAGAATTGCACAAAAATGGCATTGCGCACACTCTTGACTTTATCCTTGTACACTGCTAAAGTCCTAGCTAGTAACCTTTATCGCCTTACCAAAATGTCGCCAAAGTATCTGTTACCATATTCCAAAGATTAGCCACTAGTTTAAATGCAAGAATTATTTCAATTCGTACGAATAGCTTACTCAGAAATTAAACCCGCAGTGTTTACTTCACATTCTCATTAGAATTGATGAATTTAACCCTTGATTTTGCATTTTCTATATTTTCGCTATCAGGTGAGCAGTGTGATTGCATCCTAATTGGCTTAATTACTGCCCACAAATGGCGTTAGGGCATAAAATTGAACTATCTGGTAAAAATTCTATGTAACTGTATGCCAGTATTGAACGAAACAATCGATCTGATAAGAAATGGCTGCGACTAGTTTTGAAAATGTAAAAGTAAAAGGTTAGCAGCAAGGATATTTCGTTTGGCATTGGTTGCACCATTACTGGTGACTTTATCGCTTTCACCGGCAAAACAGAAAAGTACCAATCATTCATTCTTTTCAATTATTGATTTGCAATAAATAGTTTAGGTTTAATTATTTGAATATGGAAACGCACACAATGACCATCTGCCAAAGGAGAGGGATGCCTTCATGGAAAACTCTCTAACGGAAACTGGCTCATATTCACGTTAAGCAATGGGAAAACTGCAAAACCAACCATGTAATTAGCTCATTGCCTGGGTTCAAATCAAGGTCATATTCCCAGTATTCAGCGGTCTTAGAAAATTTTGAGGCTACAATAAATGAGTAGCCAAGTATAGAAACTAATGTTCCATTTGGATATACTTTATATGAAGCATATGACAATAACTTATTTAAGGTTACAGTGAAATTTAACTTGTGGCATTTAATTTTTGAAATCTTCATTATTTGCTTCCCGATATATTTGCTACATAATTTAAATTTTGTTCATATTGCTGCATAAAGAGCAAGTATGTCTGGAAAAATTTTAATATCTAATTTACTACAATGTTAATAATACATTTCAAACTACTACATAATAAAATCAAGTATTAAAAAACATACCTTTAGTTGTTTCCCAACTCAAACCACCAACAAATAATTTTCTGAAAACAAAAAAAAAAAGAAAAGTGTAAATGGAATAAAAATGTGTGTACAAAATTTTTGGGGATTATAATTATTTATATATACACTCACGTTTGTGAAAATTGCAACACCAAGAAGGAATCGTCATAATTGAATGCAATTTAATACACAGTTGAGTGGTAGTGGTACAAATAAATGATTAAATGTTCAAAGCAAACAAACAAGAACAAGAGATCAGAATCAGTATTTTGTGTGGCCACCACGCGCCGCAATAAGTGCTGCTACACGACGTGGCATGGAGTCAAACAAAGTTTGAATGTCTGACTGAGGAAGAGCATTCCATATCGTTTGTACACGTACCCAAAGTTCGTCTGCAGATGCAACAGGACGAGGATCACGAGCAAGACGCCGACCAATGACATCCCACACATGTTCAATTGGCGACATATCGGGGAACACGCAGGCCAAGGAAGAAGCTGTACCTGCTGCGCTGCAAAGAAGGATTTAACAATCCGAGCAGCATGAGGGCGGGCATTGTCCTGTTGAAATACAGCGCCTGGCAAGCTTTGAAGGAAGGGAACAGCTTCGGGCTGTAGAACTTCACAGATATACCGGTTGCTGTTCAGATTGCCCACAATTCGTAGCAATTGAGATCGTCTATGATATGCTATGGCGCCCCAGACCATAACTCCGGGTGTTCGTCCACTGTGGCGTTCGATAATGCACTCCGGAAGGTGGCGTTCACCGGCATAGCGTCTGACACAAATGCAGCCATCATGGTACCACAAATTAAAGCGGGATTCGTCAGAAAACACGACATGCTGCCAATCAGCACGCCAGTCTCTATGCTGATTGGCCCATTGTAGCCGCAGGCGGCGATGGTCGTGCGTTAGGGGGATCCTGTATAAAGGAGTCCGTGCGCGCAGTCCACACTGCAGCAGACGTCTACGAATTGATGAAGCACACAATGAAACACCTGTAGCTATTGACCACAGTGCTGCCAATTGTCTAGAGGAAGCTGTACGGTCCGTCCGCACCATGCGGACCACGTGTCTATCATCGTGAGCTGACGTCACATTTCGGGGTCCACTCCCGGATTTCCAAGTTGTCCGACACTCGTCTGTCCACTGCTTCCAAAAGCGCATCACTGTGCTGCTGTTACGCTGCACACGAGAGGCTACTGCACGATACGACAATCCAGCTTCACGAAGGCCGATGATTCTCCCTCGTTCAAACTCTGTAAGTTGTTCAAATCTCGCTCTCTTTCGTCGACGAGGCATAAGTACAGATTGAGTTAATGTTTACCACTAGCAGATAACCACCGATAACCATACACGCCTCGCTACAGCCGTCTATTTATTCGGATCCATCAGCCGTTCAGAGGGCGCTAATCATTTGCATATCATGCGCTACTTTGCATTTCCTGAAAATTTCAGCTCACTCGCGTAAGTCCTTCATGGTGTTGCAATTTTCACAAACGTGAGTGTATATTTATTACATATATAACTTTCCAGTTAAAAGTACTAAAAAATAACCTAAATCAGTGCACATAGATTCAGGCAGCTAAGCTTCACAAATAAGAAAACAGACAAATGTGATTCTACAGCCTATGAACTCTTTTTTTTTTTTTTTTTCCCCAAAATGCAAGAGAAAATACAGCAATAACTGTTAATTTTTTTATATCCATAAAAATGAAAGATGGTTTATTGAAAATCAATATACATCAAACTAAAACGCAGATGTTACGAGGGTGCTGTGATGTCATGTTTATCCATAACTGCCACTCTGCTTAGTGATGGCAACGCGGTTGAGGGCATAATAAGTAACCATTTTTGGCTAATCTTTGGAATATGGTAACAGGTAGTTTGGCGACATTTTGGTAAGGCGATAAGGTGTACATGGATAAAGTCAAGAGTGTGAGCAATGCCATTTTTGTGCAATTATGGGATGTTTTTTTAAGTGAAAATAGGTCGACATGTACATGGATACTGTGTATGTGCAATTCTTAGAAACGCGCTGCAAGCAGTTTGCAACTCTGCACTTTCTCCCAATTTCGCACCTAATTTTCGTCATGATTAAGCACTTTTGTTCCATAAAAGTTCTAGCATAAGTGTAATTCGGCTAGCAGATTGTTGGAAAAAAATGTTGATTAAAAAAAAACATGCCTTTACTTCGTGATGAAACAAAATGGCGTCTAAACAAAAAATAGCAGGTTACTGTAGCAGGGTTGGTCGCCACAAAATCGCCGAGTTACCATAATCCAAAGATTAACCTAATTTTTTTTTTTTTTTAAATAGATTAAATGTCTTCAACACAAAATAAAATTGTGTAATGTCAAACAGTTCAATTTTATAAAATTCCAAATACAATACAGACTGTATTTATAATAATATTAGTCTGCTGAAAGCATTCACAAAGCTAAGAGTACAATTATTAGCTTCTATACATAACTAATTATTCCTAGAAGATCCAATAACCATCTGCTAATTAATTAACAAGCAATTAAAAAATTTACAAATGAGATTTAAGATATGATTTAAGACATACACTATTGGAGGAAATGACTTTAGTCTATTAAGAAAGCAATGAAAATCACTCTACATACACCATATAAAGATTAAACTTATTGTGAAATGCCTATATTATTTTGCTTGTGTAAAACATTCAATTTAACAACTAATTTTAAACTAAAATTTTACCTAGTAAGTATGTGTACATGATTTTATGTTTTCATATATGTACATATAGAATCTTATTTTATGTTTACAGCTCCCAGCTTTAATTTAATATATTTCAAATAACTATTATTTGTGAGGATATGATTTTACACAAGTTAAACTAATTTTATTAGATGCCTACATAAAACACCTATGAATAAACAGACTCTTAAAATAAGCACCGAGTATAATACCATCTCAGAATTTACCAAAATTAATTATATTAGGCTACAAATACATATTTTAGAGTTTCACTAACTTACAATCAGAAAGCTGACTCGACTAAAACATTTTTGCGAATTTTAAATGAATACAGTTAATTTAGCTTATGATTATCAGAGACAATTTCATAATTAAACTAATAAAGTAACGTAGATGAGTAAATTCATGAATTATAATACTTAAAATGTAATGAAGAAATCGGTATCAACCCTAAGTACGCAAATTTCAACCACCATTTTGGAACCAAAATTAATGTTAACAAAATCTGACATTTCCTGCGTTTAAAAATCTGCTTTTAATCAATAACACAATTGAATTTGATTCTTATGGAATAATGAATCATATTAATCATATAATTCAAATTAGCCGTTTACTATCCTTAATGCCATTTATTACATGTTGCTTCCCAGGAAATCTTAAATAATGCATTTTTACCTCTCCAATAAGTAAATGATTTTAACGTTATAAAAAAAAACATACCCAACATCATCGTTGTCCGTCATAGTCATTTCCTTCTTAATTAACTGTCTCAAACAATTCTAAAATTTCAAAAATACGGAAGAGACAACAAATCTTGGAATGTTAACAATTACGAAACGACAAAATGACTGTTGCCATAGTGTTTATTTATCTTGATATAATTTATTTTAAATCAAAACACATTTTATTTATGCTGATGGAATAAAAATTAATTTTAATCATAAAAATTATATTTCTTTTTAATAAACTGTTCTCGTGTCTTCAATTTCGTATTGAAAATACGTAGAGTAATAAAGCAGTTTAAGGTAATAATGCAAACAATTGACCTTTGAATGTTGGCAATAATGTTTGCACCTTAACGTTAAGTCTTTTGGGAGTTTTATGACCACTTGGCAGCTTGAGAGGGCAAAGTGAGTGTAGTGTAACTATATGTTAAATTAGTATATATTTATTTTTCTTCATATCTGTTTGAGCTGTGTTATTGTATTTTACAGGTCTGACCGCTGCGATGTTTTCCTCGCTTCTAGAGACCGCTAAAAATAGTCAAATTTGTTCCCCTTTCCATGTCCGCTGTGAATCTGGTCAAGGTGAAAGTCGGTCAATGGATTTAAAAACTAGTATTGTTCCCGGTAGAATAATTTCTGCCGCTTCAACAGCAGGTATGCGTAAAAACAACTATTTGATAGCATTTTATGAAGATTTATTATTTTATTCCATGAAAATTTGATTATTGAGTTAAGACTACTTAGGGTTGAATGTGTAATTAAATCAGCTACACATTTTTATGAAATATTTTACAGTAATTGTAATGATCGAATGTTTCGTAGAAATAAGTTTGAAAAGGGGTATGCATATTTTAATTAATATACAACCATAAATTATAAGATTATTTTGGGATGATGAATTGAATGGGAGTGTTATAATACGATCTTTATGATTAATTTAATTGTTTTTAATTACCTTCTTTTAGATCAAGCTACTGTTGAATATGGTACAATGAAATATTACGCATTATGTGGCTTTGGTGGAATTCTGAGTTGTGGAATAACACATACTGCTGTAGTACCATTAGATTTAGTTAAATGTCGAATCCAGGTATGTAATTTTAATGTTGTGCTGCAACTTTCAGATTTTATTATTTCCTGCAGATGAAATTATTTTTAAGTAAACATTTGAAAAATTTTATCTTGCATTAAATTTTTGAATAGTAATTTTATCTTGCATTAAATTTTTGAGCATCATAACAGTTGCATTGCTCATAATTTAATAGTTGCAGCCTAAGTGAGATAAGCGCCGACAGTGCATTTGTGGGGTATTTTAACACATTCACATGTGCACTTATTAAGTATTTGGTTTAATCCTAGTATCTGGTGCACACGGGATTAGGCGACTTTATAATGAGCATTAAAAATGGGACGTATACGATGAGTAGTAAACGGGTCATTCAAAGAATATATATAGTTATACATAGTATGTACTATGTATATAGTGTATATACACTATATACATAGTATGTACTATGTGTATAGTGTATATACCACTATAGTATGTGTATAGAAGTTCTTTGAATCATGTTTGGTGTTGGCGATAATTTTCAAAATCGCGCCAAGGCTGCACCGTATACTAGGAATTTACCAAGTATTGTAAATAGTTATGAAAATTATACATTTAACCTAATCATTGTTTTTAAATTACAAAATAAGATTTTCTGTATTATTGAAGTGAGATAAAAATATGGGCAACGTGCAGAATCACCCACTGCTTGGCGCATTTTTAAGAAATGCACATACTCGGTATCCATGTACACGTCGACCTATTTTCACTTAAAAAAATCCCAAAATTGCACAAAAATGGCAGAGCTCATGAGCGGTAAAGACGCTGAACACTGGCAGTTCGGTCCGAGGTTTGAATCCCGCAACCGGGCTGGCTGCATGGGCGTTTTCATGGTTTTCCTCATGTGTAACATGTATACGAGCCAGTTTCCCTAAAGTCCTCCACACTCCCTTTAGGCAGATAGCCCTCGTGTGCTTTGCCATAATTAAATAACCCAGTCCAATCCACAAAAATGGCATTGGGCACACCCTTGACTTTATCCATGTACTCATCTACCTATTGTCACTTAAAAAGTCAAAGAAAATTGATAAAAATCCAATTCTTCTTACTCTTGTAAAAAGTGCCAAACAAATAAGTGGGCGATTCTGCACTTTAGCCAAAAGTATAGCTATATTACATTTAAGCTCATAATATCCTTTTAAATAAGTAACGGTTTGTGTCATTAATGTACTTTTATGTTATTGCCAGTTACTGCTGAAATTTTGTCAAAGTTTTATCCATGTGATAATTTATTTTGATATTGCTGGTAATTAAAATAGTTTTCAAACATATTGTAATTATAGAAATGCAGTCTTTTAGATCTGATTGCATGAGAAACAAACATAAAAGTAAACAAAAGGAAGGTGGAATTCTGTTTAATGAACTGTTTCGCAATAAAATACACTCATGTCCATAAATTAAGGATAATGCAAAATCAGGCAAAGGAAGAGTTAGAAGCAAAACAAATTTTACTTATTTGTAAAGCTTATTTATTAAACAAAAGGTAGAGAGCAAAAAAAGATGCTATATGTTTGATATTATTAATAAAATTAGCGATTTTTTTCTCCCAGGAGTAAATTACAAAAAAAAACCTATTTACAAAAAACCAATATTACATAGTTGGTATGATTGTTAATACATTATATGTCTCCCAGACGATGCAATACAGTCCGTACAACGCCTAGGCATGCTGAGAATTAAATTATCGATCTGATCTTGGGGTATATTTTTCTACTCAAAAAGCACTGCTCTCCGAGGTTCCGGTAGACATGTATAGGAGGTTGACGGTCTGCAACTCGTCAGCCAAGCATGTCCCACACGTGCTCTACTGTATTCAAGTCCGGTGAGAATGCTGGCCAGTCCATATACACTATATATACACTATATACATAGTATGTACTATGTGTATAGTGTATATACACTATAGTATGTGTATATCCTCCGATTGAAGGCATTCGCTTACAATGTTTGCACAGTGAGGATGGGCATTGTCATTCATAAACACAAATTGTGCACCAATGGTGCCCCAAAACAAACGTACATGTTGTTACAGAATGACGTCCCGATAGATTTCGCTTGTCATGGTTCCAATTTGAACATGCAGGTCAGTTCTGGAACCCAGAATAATTCCACCCCAAACAACCACTACTGCACCACTGTGACGGTGTCGTTCAATGATGTTTTCTTTGTGGTAACGGGCTACCTGGAGCTCTCCATATGAAAGTCCGCGAGAATCAGACTGCAAGCTAAACCTGGACTCGTCGGAAAACATCACACAAGCCCACTGTTGCGGTGTCCACAATGCATGCTCTCTACTCCAGGCTAACCGCAGGCGACAGTGAGTTGCAGTAAGTGGAACGCATCTGACAGGTCTACGAGCATATAGACCAATCTGCCCTAATCGTCTGTACACGGTCTGACTTGAAATTGTCGTACCAGTGACTGAAGAGAGCTGACGAGACAGGTCTAAGGCTGTGCTCCGCCTGTTTCTTTTGGCAGTAACTGCCAAACATGTTTCCTCATTCGGCGTTGTAACTCTGGGACGACCTGTGCTGTAACGTCTACTCACATTACCATCATCTTGGAATCATTGCTAAAGCCTGGAGATGACACTTTGGCCAATTCCAAGTTCGTCTGATTCTTCCAGTTGGGTACGCCCACATTCCAGACGGCCAATAATTTTACCACGTAAAAAATCATCCAAATGCGTCCTTTGTGTCAGAACTATTCGGTTATTGCACTGAAATGCTTATAAAGCGCCTGCGAACAATTTTACTTCTTTGCCTGTATTCCTTATATATCACTCTCTTACACTCTCGTCATTGTGACGTACCATCGGTGTCATCTGATTACTTCCTGAAATTTGCATATGATTCTTGAAGATGTGTGTAGTGATTTTACATGTGATATATTTATTTTAGAGTTCGATTTCCGCGTGACTCCGAATTATCCTTAATTTACGGACATGACTGTATTTTTTATGCAATAGGCATGGAAATGAAAATTTCATGTCTTGCTATTGGGTGTTTGCTGTTGTTCTCTGGAGTTTTTTTATATGTGCTATAGGGATTGTTTTTCGGATGTTTTAGATTTTAAATCATGTTACAAAAAAGATAGGATTTGTCAGAGGTGAGTGGTGATTATATTACAACTTCTCTTATAATTTTGGAAATGCAAGGGAACAACTATTTTATATTTGTGTATGAAAGTGAGTTTGATTGCATCTGAGTATCTGAACTGGGAAAACAGTATGCAGTAGGCAATTTAATGGATATGAATGACGTTGTCGAAAGAATAGTGCAAGTCTGCGGGATGTTTGTAAGGTCCCGTTCAGACGAGGGCGTAAGGGACATAAGTGGTTAAAGCCGAGTTCCAATGCCAAGGCAACCAGTCTCTGCTACGTCACAGAATCTGGTTTAGGGCTCGTGGCATAGGGTTTAAAGTTTTTAACTTTACGCCGAGTTTGGGATAAGCGTCTACCAATCAGAGCGAAGCAACAACTTTCTTTAAACGATTTCACTGTCACATCGAAGGCGACGTTTTTTTTAATATGGAACACATCGTATCTGAATGAGTTGTAATCGTATCCAAATGAAATAATGAGTTGTAATCGTATCCGAACGAAATAAAGAGTTGATCTCGCAAGAAATTACAATGATAATGAGATCGGGGGGGGGGGGGGGGGGGGGGGGGGGGGGGGGGGGGGGGGGGGGGGGGGGGGGGGGGGGGGGGGTTCAAGGGGGGTGGGGGGGGGGGGGGGGGGGGGGGGGGGGGCGGGGGGGGGGGGGGGGGGGGGGGGGGGGGGAGGGGGGGGGGGGGGATCATGCTTTTTTAATGAGTTTTTCAATTTATATTGAAAAATATGGATATAAAACTCTTAAAGCGAAAGTTCTTAAAGCTCAGGATTATGCACGCTGTGTATGATCCTGTAGATGATTGATCCCATCCAATATTTTTCATTTTATTGTGAAAATTCTTTAAAAAATGCATGATTGCAAAAATTTTATTTTTTCTGTTTAAATTATTATTATTACTTTCTTTCTGTCTATAATTTAAAAAAAATATTACATAATTTTTTCCTGTTTAATTATTTTTGTATTTAAGAATAAATTATTGAAAAAGCTGGAAATATTGTATTGTTATTTGCTTCCAAATGCTGATTTTCTTTCAAACTTCATGAATTAATTTTACTAAACATCAAATCAATATCAATAATCTGCTGTTTTTTAACAGTAAAAATTACTTTAAAGAAAAAAGAAAAATTTATTTTCACTTATTAAGAATAGTCACAATAGTCAATTCAATGGTGTAAGCTTTGTATAAGTAATAAAAGATTAATCTTTTGAGAAAATGCTCTTATGAATTCCAAGAAGAAAAAAAATGTTGAAATATCCTTAAAACAGTCAAGAGTCTAGACAGTTTTGTCTCCTGTTGAACTTCTGTTCTGTTTTTTTTAATTACGTTTCTCCATGAAAGGAATTTACTTTTAATGAAACTGAATAGCACATATAATTCGTAACATGGGACTATAATTTAATGAATAGTATTTATATTATTATCCATCTTTATTACTATCATTTGAATGGAATTTTGATCATTAAATTCATGCTATTTTCTCTGGTAGAAATTCCTGGTTAAGGTATGAAGTTTAATAATTTTGATGTATTTGAAGACTTGGGTACCTAAAATTTGTCAATGTGAAATTACTTTTGAGATTTGGTTGGTAAAGAGAATTGACAGCATATGTTGAAATTAAATTCAAGGGTGCGGGTTATACATGCAAATTGTTAGAAATAGATGTATACAAACAGCTGGCAACATGGCAAAATGTATTTAATGTTTGAGCATAAAATACATTGTTGGGTGAACGTTTCCTAGTATTGTACTAGTTGTGGTTGCTGGTCATTGGTGACCAGTTGTGGGATACTAGTACTAGTGATAATTGATACTGGTAGTGCAGCCAACTACTATAGTGATCGACAGTGACAGTGAATAAGGAGTGC